TCATCCTATTCATCATCATCATCATCATCATCATCATCATCCTCATGATCATCATTGTCGTCATCCTCATCCTCATCATCATTGCCCTCATCATCATCATCATCATCATCCTCATTATCATCATTGTCGTCATCCTCATCCTCATCATCATTGCCATCATCCTCATCCTCATCATCATTGCCCTCATCATCCTCATCCTCATCATCATCATCATCATCATCTTCTTCTCCTCTAGAATCTCTGCCAACCATCTTCGTCCAACCTTAAGCTCTTTTATCGAGAAGGTTGTACAATGTACATAGTGTTTTACACACTCCTTGGGGAATAATCCTCGCTCGTACTGTGCATAAATGTCTTCAAGGAATGAACTGCATTCTAGATTACGGTAAGGAGTTGGCAATGTTGGCAAGCTGCCGTTGAAAACCTCGGTTTGAAACGATGACTCTCGCCACTCAACCCTCCCTTCTGCACTAATGAACGAGGTGAAGATCATCATCTTATAGATACTTCCGCTCCAACTGGAGTACTTCCTCTCTCGACTGGCTACTGTCTCCCGGGTCTGTGTTGACTGTTGCCGCTGTGGTGCTCGTACCGCACTTAAACGATTTACTAGGAAACTAAATTTTCGCTTTTAAAGTACATCCACTCAACTAAGAATATCAAAACCATTCAAAGAACATTCCCGTGGGTCTCCCGAGTTCTCTAATCAGAATATGAGGCAAATTGGTCCAGGGGTTTTTGATTTATGATCAGACAAACAAACAAACAGACAAACAGAAACCCAAACAAAGATTACAACTTTATATATATATATATAGATACATAAAATTGGTTAAATGTCGTTTTCTATTCCACTGTTTTATGGCTCCCACTGTATTATTATTATTACTAATATTTTCATTAAAATTTTAGGTAAAATTAACTGTAGAGCGTAATTAAATTATAAATGATTTGTTATTTTTAATATTTCTAAAATAATATTTAATTTATTTCAGTCTATATTTTAATATTCTACCTTTATAATTACTTTGTTTTCTTGTTAATTATTATACTAAACTATATTTAACTGAAAAATGTTATATTGGTTTAAATAAATAGTAAATACCTTTAAAATATAAAACTTCTCTTCAGAACAAAATATCTAGATACAATTGTCGTCTTCCTTATCTACGAAAAAATCCACGAAAATAAGAATGTAAATCTTCAAACCATGATAATTGCACAGTCTAAATTATTTTTAATAAGCTTGTAGTCTAAAAACTACTAATTATGCATACATTGATCATATTTTACATAATTTTTATTGATATCATTTATTTTGAAATTTTTAAACTATTTGTAAAATAAGTGTTAACATATTAACTGAAGGCATTCTGTCTGCTACAGAGAAAAAGCTTGCAGCACAGTCTCTCATTGGTCGAATCAGAACCAATCCTGACTTGGGTTCTATCTAAGCCTGAGTTTGGGTTTTAGTCGGGTTTAAGCTTTTAAGATCTCATCTCATCTCTGGACTATCTCTCTGCTCTACCATTGGATTCCCTCGATCATAGCTCTTAATCCCAACCTATTTGACCCGAACACTTCAAGGCCTTTTGACGGATTGTTCAAGGAGAATGCATTTCAAGTTTGTTCTTTAAACACACTGTTCAGAAACTCTGCGAACGTTGAGAACAACTATAAAGATATGGGATTCACTGATCTTCACTCATGCATACCGGTCACAGTAGAGGGTATTCCTCCTATTCTTATACCAGGACAATTTGATCAGTATATTGTATATCAGACAGCTCTTGAGAAGTTGACTAACAACAAATTTGTTTGTATTTATCAAGAGGAATTCAAGCGTGAGATTTTCCTTCAGGAATTAAGTAAAAAAAATGTTGATTTGTTTGACAAATCTGAATTCTTTTCTTACTGCTGAGCGAGGTTGTTTGATAGTTCGGTATTCACACATTCGAGGCACAGAATCAACCTCAGTTCTCTTCTTTGCTGATGATGTAAACAAAGTGCTATTTTTGTTTCCCTTAGAGCAAGTGTTGAGCTGGTTGTCTGCATACCAGAGAACAGTGAAAAGGTGATGGACCTGGGATCAGGAGTTCGTCTAATACATGGACTCAGAGGATCTCCTGCTGCCTTCAGAACTCTGAGGGAAATTCTAAGTAAATAAAACATACAGAAAATCGTCTGTTGTTTGTATGAAAACTTCACCATTTCTGAAATAGAAATGTTTAAGCAAGAATTTCAAGAGATATCTCTCCAAGAGTAACCTCACTCATCATGTATACTGAGACAAATATACAGCAGACAACAACAATGTTTATCCTTGTATGGTGTTCTCGCTACGCTGTAAGACTACAGTTACACCATGAACCAAGGTCTGCAATCAAACAAACGGTAAAGGCATTATTCTCTAGATTAAAGAGGATTAAACAGTTTGGCAGGTTTAAACTTAAACTTTCTACACTGGAACTTCGTGCATTGAAGTCTTAAACTATTTTGAATTGTTTTGTAATTCTGAATGTATTAAGACATGATTCCATATATATTTATGATGATTTCACGGGAAAAAAATATCCTATTAAAATTAAATGAACTGTTAAATTATATCAAGATTATTTGTAAATACAGAAAATTATAAAGATGGTTGATTTTCCGGTATTTAACAGAGCAGTTTCTCGCATTTCTAGCTAAAATAAAATTGTAAGAGCTAAACATATTTCTATTTTTATATTTTTTCAAATTCATTTTTCATTTAAACTGCTTCTTATTAATTGATGTTACATAAATAAATAAATAAATAAATAAATATGTTTACCATGTCTTAAACCAATCTGTTCACTGCAATAAACTGTACTGTGTGCCAACGTACATCACTTCTTCAGAAAAAGTGAAACAAAAATTAAAAATATTGTTAAAATTGTTTTACTATTCTTATAAATGTTTGCTTTTTATTTATTCACATATATACTTAGTGATTTGGTATTTACAGTATTTATCTATTAACGAATATTTTTTACAATTTAATCAATTTTTTGTTAAAAATATTTCATTATTAATGTTTGCTTTTGGGAAATATATATTGGGGAAAAAATATTGTTTTTGGTTTTGATTAAAATTTACTAAGACAAGAAGAACTGGTCTAAAGAGTGTTATTTAAAGTTATAATAGATGGAGATAAAACCGTTCTTGAATTTACTACGACAAGATGAAATGGTTTAAAGAGGGGTATTTAAAGTTATAATAGATGGAAATTAAACTGTTCTTGAATTTACTAAGACAAGAAGAACTGGTTTAAAGAGGGGTATTTAAAGTTATAATAGATGGAAATTAAACTGTTCTTGAATTTTTAAAGATGCCTAAATTTATATTCATTTCTAGGGCATTCAAAAGAATTGAGTCTTTGCGATAAAATCTACTTTTAATCTCTATATCTTTGAAATTAGATGTCGTAGACCTTAGATATATTAAATTATGGCTTCCATTATATCAAATAATCCAAGTTTGAAATATCTAAGGTTTGCATGTTGCAAAGATATACGAATTTAAAAATTTTAGTTTGTGGCAAAGACTCAATTAATTTCCATTTTTTACACTTTTATTTAGAAAACTGTTTGAGTGCATAAAATATATTTTTGAGAAGGTTTATATATTGTGGAGAGAGAAACTTTTATGAAGAAAATTTAGGTTTTTATACAGAAATTTCCGATTAGCACAAGCAAATAAAAGATTGAAAAAGGTGTTCATTAAACAAGCAAAAGTTTACTTTTTTCTTCCTAAATCAAGATTGGCAGTCCGTAAAAATATTACCCTGGCATACAGTGAGACTCATAAAACTGTGGAAAAGCAATCTTATTTGCCTTTTATGCCGTCAGAAAAAAATTAGTTTTACGCCAAATTAAAGTAAAAGAACTGAACACTTGGCACAAACTCTAATTTTTAATCTCTATTTCTTTGCAGCCTGAGGGCGCAAGCCTTTGATATTCAAATTTAAGCTATTTGTATTAACAGAATTCACAATTTGAAATATCATACGCCTACAACATCAAGTTACAAAGATATTGGGATTTCAAAATAAGAACTTGTGGAAAGTATTCAGTTCCTTTCACCCAAGATTAAAATCTTAAATGTATTCAATTTCTATTTCTTATTAAACAGCGATTAAAAAACTAAATTTAGAAAAGCTATGAAGTCACAAAGTTGTACCAGTAATGTCGCATAAATTTGACCTTCTTCTGAATACTGGAGTGCACTGTGCACTGTGTAAATAGTTTTACAAGTAAACTTTTTTCTTTCTAAATCAAGATTGACAGTCCGTAAAAATATTACCCTGGCATACAGTGAGACTCATAAAACTGTGGAAAAGGAAGGTCCAGCATTTAAGTAATCTTATTTACATTTTATGCCGTCAGAAAGAAATTAATTTTACGCAAAATTAAAGTAAAGGAAATTAACACTAACCCTAATTTTTAATCTCTATTTCCTTGCAACCTGATGGTGCAAACCTTTGATTAGCAGAATTCACAATTTGAAATATCAAAGGCCTACAACATCAAATTGAGGAGATGGTTGAATTTGGTATTCAAAATTTTAATGACGACCTAAAACTCTTAAATTCTGACAATTAGAAGATGGTTAAATTTTGGTATTAAAAATTTTTAAGACGACATAAAACTCTTAAATTCTGACAATTAGAAGATGGTTGAATTTGGTATTCAAAATACGTTCATTAATAGATATATTTCAGTAAATCACTTTATAAAAATACAATAATTGATATTTGACTATAAATACATATTTTTGCAAGGTTCAATTTTGAATGTCGTCTTTGGCCATCAATGAAAAATAAAATGTTTACATTGACAAAATAAAATATAAATTAAAAGTAAACCAAGGAAATATGCAGCATCAAAATCATATAAAAAATCTCATTTATAAATTTTTGTACCTTTTGTTAATTTGAAACTTTTGATATTATAGAATTGTTTTATTTATTTATNCTTTGTGGGTTACCCTGTAGATAGATCTATAAAGGATACTATAGTGAAGTCCCATGCTTTGTGGGTCCCTCAGTATATTTGATTTCTATAGATCTGGATGAAGGATTATCTCTGGATGAAAGTAGAGATGTGGATTTACAAATTTAGATTTGAGAAATAGCTCGGGGTTCATCAGTATCTCCTAAATTATAACTGTCGTCTTTTTCCATGAAAAAGTAAGAATTTTATATTTTGTAACTAACATTTATCAAGATCTGTTAGAGATAAAAATTACAAAAATTACGATTTTCGGTTTTCAAATGTATTTTGAGAGAAAAAAATCTGATTTATCGACAAAAACGTCTAGTTAGTTATTAGAGACAAAATAAGTATCACAAACTATCACCTGCAATGAAAGGAGACCATCAAAATTAGCGTCGCCATTTTTTAATAGTATTCTAGCCTCTTCAGCTGCCCAAAACCGGTTTTTAGGATCAAGAAAATTGATCATTTCCCGCCTAAACGAACAGATGACCCATCAAATTTTTAAATTTTTTAAAAAAGTTTTAATTCAAATGGAAATCAAAAATTGAAATTAACTAACATGTTATTTTCTACATTTGTTAAAAAGCGAATCTAGAAATAACTAACCCATAAAGAAGTTTCTTGTCTTTTCAGATTATATTTTATCCAAGGCTTTAACAACCATTTAGTAAAAAACAAAGAATTTTTTGTAAAAGCATCATGTACAAAGCTTGTTAAAAAATTATAAAAGATTCTTTTACAATTTATTTTTAAATGTTCAACAATATTTCAAAAAGAGCAGTGAATTTTTTTTTCTCTGACTTGTGTGTGTTTTATCAGCTGATTATAGTTTTGCTTGGAAGGGATGCTGACTCTACTGATTGAAGGATCAGGTACAAATATAAATTCAGTGCTCAATTTTCTTACAGGTTGGGGAAAAAAAATTCACTGCACTAAGCGGGGTTTGAAAATTCTGAGGATATTAATTCCGCCTTAATAATGACAAATGGGATAAGAAAGGTTAGGAAAGGAGTGGATATTTTTGACAAGAGAATGTTTGTTAATCTTGTAACTTCAGCGCCGCCATATTGTAGCAGCTAGCCTCTTCAGCTGCCCAAAACCGGTTTTTAGGATCAAGAAACTTGATAATTTCCTGCTTAAACAAACAGAGCCAGGGCCAGTTGTTGCTCCTCTGAAAGCTAGATGTATACTGAAAAAATCCCAAAAGTAAAAAATCAAGCTCTAACCTGTCTGCTACTCCGTTGTGATCAATGTCCAGTCCACTGACAAAGTGTTCCTCCCGTATTTGGATTTCTTCTGGAATATTATTTTTTTTCAATTCACACCAGTTCAATTGTTCAATGATCAAATTATTACACATCTACACAGTGTAGTCATGATTGATTTTCTGATACAACAATAACCAGAAAAATGGCATAAAAGTGTCTTTTTTATTAAATCTTTTTATGCCAAACATCTTTCTGTATTTAGTGACCGTTTCAACTCAAAAAATGGGTTATCACTAAATAAAGATTGTTAAACAGCAACACTTATTCTACTTCTTGTTATTAACATTAAGAAAAAAATGTTTACAAATGTTTTCTTACTAATTTTTCAAAACAAATTCTTTTCTAGTAAACCCTATTTATGATTTTGAACATCCCAACAAACAAAAAATACAGCAATATTAAAACACAGATCCTTTTCACTTAATATTGTAGAAACCCCATTTGTCTATAACAACATCAAATCTACTGCTCCACACTGTACATTGAACATGTGAGGTTTTGCAAAGCCGCCATGATCCCTGCAAATTTACCTCCAAGACTCATGATTTGTGGAATTGGCTCATAGATGATTTTTGCAGGGTTTGGCCGTCATTCTGCAAATCATAAGCTTAAAAGTCATTTTGCAAGGATCATGGGGGCTCTGCTCCCCCTTCCTCGCATCGGTAAACGCAGATTATATCTATACCTGGAGATTGTTGAATAAAAGGCTCCTTGGTAAATTCAGCCTTTGTTAGCTTGCCATCCCCATTCTCATCATACTAGATAAATGAATAATTAGATAGATATTGTAGAAGATGTCAAAATATTGATTTTTGTGTTGTAAATAATATGCAGGAGAAATATATACCCCGTTTCTCTGTTCCTAGTTTGTAAGGATATTTATAGAATCCCGCCAATTTGGGGCCCAAGCTTCCTTGGAAATCCCTGTCCTGGGTTTCCCAAAACTAGGGTTCAAGGATCTGCATGAGATGGTCAGGGAAGGAGGTTGGAGGAGTCAGTTGTGTACAACCTGGCGTAAGTGGAGGTGGAGCTGATCGTTACGACCAAGATGTGCAGCTGTTTATAGTGTTTACTGTTTGATATCCATTTCTTTCCTTTTATTTAATAAAGTATCTCGTTTTGTGTTATCGCGTTATATTTATTAGTTTCTTGATAAGTTTGGTAAAATGCAATTTAGATAAATACTGGTTTTAAGTTAACTTTTACAATATAAAGATAGATAGATAGATTGGTAAAAAGATAAATATATAGATTGAAATATTAATATATAGATTAAAATAGATCTATAGAAATCACAATGAAACATTATGTAATTATAATTAATTAATATACTATAAATAGAATTTTACGGCTATCTAATATTTATATCATGTTTGTAATTTTGGTAAGATCTTTATCACAAACAAAATTTGTTTTTTTTCTGTCAGTGCAGTTTTTTTTAATGGCCTAGAGTTGTCATTGGTTTATGATTAGTTTTTATCCATACGTTAATTTTTCCGAGAGATGGAATAGTTAATGGTAAATCCTCTGTTTGTTCCTTAAAGAAACGACTGTTCTCAATTAGTGACAGCCAGTCCTCTGACGTTTCTCTGACGTTGCTCTGACGTTACACACATCATCTGGTTACTAGGGTATTATATTACCTTATTTAACAAGTGTTCTAGATCAGAAATTAGAAGGCTCATACTTGACTCCGGGTGTTCAAGCGCTAGAAACTCATCTGAAAAAATGAATCTGTGTTATTAATTAGACTAGATATAATTTCTAGAGAGACATGTAAACCTTTGTTTGATCAATAATGATCTTCTATTTTATTTTCTTGTTTTTGTTTGAAATTCGGTTCTTTTTAAAAGTGACTTGTGTAGATTTATTTACCACATTTTCAGACAAAACCACACTGTGGCTCAGGTTTAAAGGGTACCTTTGTCGAACGGACACGCCTTATAAATAAATGGCCACTTGATATTTTACATGTGACATTTTTGCCTAATCCAAGTACAGAGGGAATACACGATGGCAAACAAAATTAAATTAATGTTTTTGCTAAATTAAAATTAGTTTCTAAATAAATAATATTTTTACCAATATTTAAAGATCCCGGATTACTCTTCGCCGCTTCACTCCAGGACGCTTTTAAACTGGAGATAGATTCCTGGATAGATAAATACAAAGATAGATAGTTAAATAGATAGATAGATAGATAGATACATAGATACATAGATAGATAGATAGCTAGATAGATAGATAGATAGATAGTTAGATAGATGGATTCCTAAATAGATAGATAGATAGATGGATTCCTAGATAGATAGATATATAGATAGTTAGATAGATAGATAGATAGATGGATAGAAAGATAGATAAATAGATAGATAGATAGATAGATAGATAGATAGATCAATATTTCTATTAATTTGATAAAATTAGTACAGAAACTTAACTTTATTTTTCTAATTTTCTATAATTTTGCAACCTGATGGGGTTGGACCTTTGGTATTTTAAACTTTGAATTCAAAAATCCTTTTTTTAAATATCAAATGTTTACAGGTCCCAAAGCTAAAGAAATTAGAAAATCAGCTTTTCTTTTAAATTCCTTAATTTCACCTTTGCTTCTCTTTCAAGATTATCTGGATTTAACTCTGGGTCTAATAGTAGCTGGTCCCTATAGTATTTTATTATTATTATTATTTGTTAGGTTAGGTTAATACACTTTCTATGCATAATTTAGGAGTTTCAGCGGAAAGTTGAAGTTCAAAATCTATTTGGGTGTTTACGTTTTTAGAATTGATTTTTTAAAATTATTAAATAACAAAGGCAAAAATGTAACAAAAATTCTAGAGTAAACTGATTATTTGTTAAGAAACAAGCTAAGAAAATCAAAATTGAATCTTATTATCGAAAATAAGTAATATATAATTTATTTGTTACTTTAATGTCTAATTGTTCACAAAACATTTTTTGTAGATCTACCGGAATTTTTATTGAAAAGACGACATTTGAAGAATTTGAAGAAATTTTCAAACAAATTCACAAAGAATAAGAAATGCATTATAATGATGAAAAAGAAATAACTTATTCTAACATTGATTTATGACAAATTTCTTTTAAAAAACATCTAACTCCTGCAATTTTAAATGTAGACATTTCAAGAACTACTGAGAAAAAAAGTATTTCAAAGGAATTGAGTTTTTGTCAAAAAATCTGATTTTCTTATCCCTATATCTTTGCATTTCAATGTCAGAGACCTTAGATATTTCAAACTATGAATTGTTTTAGTTCAAATAATAATAGTATAAAATATCAAAGGTTAACACCATCCGGTTGCAAAGATAAAGCGATTTGAAAATCAGAATTTGTGGCTAAAACTCAGTTCCTTTCCAACCGAATAAATTTGCTTTCATCAGACTTGTGGGTAAAATCAAAACTAGAGCAGAAACGAGGTCACAAAGTCGTAGCAGTAATGTTTCATAAATCTGACCTCATGCTTTTGGGTGGCTTGCAATGATTATTGTTTTGTACCTGCCCATTCTTCTTGGTTTTATCCAGGGAAAAAAACTTTTTGAAATTGTTTCTCATAGATTTCTAAAAACAAACTTTTTAAAATATAAAAATATCTAAAAGTGATATTAGAAAAAGCGTTCTAGAGAACAATATATAAAGGTTTAAAAATAATATGCTTGGCGTTTAAAAACAAGAGTAATGCAAAGCATAAAAATATATAACACTAAAAAACACTTTTGATATTATTGGTATTATGAATATTATTACGTATTTGACATACAAAATAGTAAAATCTCTTTTTACAAATTCATTCTTATATAATTTCTAAGTTTAAAAATCTCTTTTTACAAATTCATTCTTATATAATTTCTAAGTTTATAAACATGTTATTCAGAATTTCAAGTGACCCTCCATGTACCCTTTAAAACTTTGTCTGAATATGAATACTGTAATATAATAATAAGAAATCTATATCATAAAACAAGACATTATATTTGTTGCCTAAATCCGGCCAAATGGCTGGACCGTATGGGCTGAAATTTTTTGTGGACACTCATGGGTGGCCGGGGGGTGTTATAGGCTAAAAATTGATGTTTAAAAAAATGTTTTTCAATTTTTTTTCCAACGCAACGCTAAGCCTTTCAGCTAGTTAATAATATATCCATGATTTTCTATAAAAAAAACAATGTATTTTCTATTCTGGATTCTCTGTAAACGTGACTTTTAACATTATTGATCAGATATTATATATATATATATATATATATATATATATATATA